GCCTGGTTGCCCCTCACTGGCCTCCCTGCCGGCCTGCTCGCCCCCAGCTGTCCCCTTGCCAGCCTGGTCGCCCCTCACTGCCCCGCCTGCTGGCCTGGTTGCCGCCAACTGCGCCCTCTGCCAGCCTGGTCGCCCCTCACTGCCCCACCTGCCGGTCTGGTCACCTCATGCAGCCTGCTGTTCGGTCGTTCGGTCGCACCCCGACTCCCCCCCCTTCTGGCCTGGTTGCCCCACACAGCCTGCTGTTCAGTCGTTTGGTCGTCCCTCATTAACCCTGCTGCCAACTTGGTCACCCCTCAATGCCCGCCTGCTGGCCTGGTTGCCACCAACTGCCCCCTGCTGGCCTGGTTGCCCCCAACTGCCCCCCTCTGCCGGCCTGATCGCCCCCAACAGCCCCCCCTGCATGCCTGGTCACCCCTCACTAACCCCCCTGCCGGCCTGGTCACCCCATGCAGCCTGCTGCTCAGTCATTTGGTTGTCCCTCACTAACTCCCCTGCCAGCCATGTTGCCCCATGCAGGCTGTTTGGTCGTCCATTCGGTTGTTTCGGATGTGATGGGACCTGCCTCTTTATATATATAGATACTATCTTGGCACTAGCATAAATAACGCGTTTTTTTAATTTTTATTATTTGAGAGTATCTTAAAGATAAATGATGTAGAATAATTAGTAGAAATATAAATTAGAATTGTGAGTTATATATAAGAAGCTAGTGTTGGTAAGTAACACACTTAACTTAGTAGCAATCCTAGCAGAAGCTCAACAACTGCACCTGAATTTGGCCTAGTTCAGCATTTGTGAGCAGATACAAATGTGGAAGATTCATAGAATGTGGAGATTCATAAAGGTCCCAGGAAGCATCCCTCTCAGTTATCATCTATTTCAGCACTTTATTCACTGATTATTTCTTCTGTCCTATTTGTTTTATAAATGTTTTTCTTGATTTTAGAGAGAGAGGAGGGGAAAGGGATAGATAGACAGAAACATTGATGAGAGAGAAACATGGATTGCCTGCCTCCCGCATGCCCTGTACTGGGGATCAAGCCCACACCTGGGCATGTGCCCTGACTGGGAATAGAATCTGTGACCTCCTAGTGCATGGGTCGATGCTCAAACACTGAACCATACCGGTCAGGTGTCTTTCCTGTTTTACTAGACTGGGGCTCTGCAGATAGATGCACTTCCTCTTGCAACTACAACATCTATAACAGTGCAAGGAACTTAGTAGGTAATTAACAAATATTTTTGAGTAATTTTGTTGAGCTAAGAAAATCTCAAAAAAGAATATGATTTCAGTACAGAGAATCTGTAGGAAATATGAACCCTTACTGTAACTACAGTCATAAAAAATATAAACTTGTACTTTCATGTACCATTCAAGTCAGGGCATTTTACCTTCTGCATATTACTAATGTGCACTGGCCATGAAAGCCTTTGTACAACTATACAAACCTATTCTTTTAATCAGTTTATTGATGTAATCAGAAAAGTTTTATGTAGAAATTTCTTAATTTTTAAAGGAGACTTTTCTTTATATTGATTTTTGACCTAAACTTGCCCTGGGCCTATGCTCTGAATGCACTTTGAGATGTATAAGAGCATTACAATCACTCAGCTACCTCCATTAACACTCATTAGTCTTGTTTGATCATATGTATAAACATTAAGAAACACTGTTATACTTTAAAATTTATTTTAACCATTTCCCATATTTTAACCACAGTATAGTCTTTTATTTGTTCTTTATAACACAACTCTTTTATCCATCCTGTTTGCTCTTTTAACATTTTTCTTGTATCTACAGTTTAAATTATAAATTTAAACTGAAACTATAAATTCTGTGCCTTAGAAATTTTTAATGTGTTCCCGTGATTACTCAAATATTCTTTTCTCATGAGTTTCATCACAATGACTTTGGGTTGTTTATAATAAAATAGGGGCTCTATTGTATAATATACCAAAGAATTACGTAACTGCACAATTCTAGGGGATATACTGAAAGAAAGAAGGAATAATCGTGATGTTAAACTATTAATTTCATATAGAAATAGGATTTCTTAATTATGGAAATCAATCATTTTGTTCTGGATTTTAATACTATTTTAAAACCCTAAGAAGTGTATTATAAAAATTATAAGTGGCTGGAAATTCTAAATGTTAACATAAGTAAAACTGGGGAAACTGATTTAATATTTTTACAGGGTTAAGAGAAAATTTAAAAATACAGGATAAAGTTAGATAACTTACTTTTGAGGGCACAATTCTGCACTTAAACAAAGACATTTTCATTAGGTACTAACAAAAATAGCAGAATAGCAGAGTAACTAAGTAAAACAAAGAAAGGAAGGAGAATAATTACCTGAGATGTCATAATCCTATTACTCAACAATGAGGTAAAATAAAATTCCAAGAAGGAAAAGAAAATGGAAGGAAAAAGAGAAAAAAAATCTGAAAGAAAAGGAAGGAAAGAAAAGGAAAGTGAGAGGAAAAAATGGTAAAGAGAAGAAGTGGGAGGGCCGATTATATTTATTTAGGGAAAAAAAATCACAAGGAAATGTAGGTGTACCAGTTAGTTCTAGTGGTCAGTCAACTAACAAATTGTTCTTAGTGTCCTGTTATTTAAGAAATGAGGCTATTCACTGATTTAACCGTTCTCTTCCTCCTATTACACACCTACCAGTGCATGAGTCCCTTTCTTGAGGAGGTCCCAGTCTAGGTTACTCTCAGGAGAGCCTACCAAGAAACTTATGACTATTTTCAAATTAAAATATATTTTGGATAGATGTTAGCTTTTGATCTCCAGAAAGTACTGTGAATTCTGTCATGTTATTAAATGTGAAAAAGACAGATGAAGAGAAAAGAGTACTGCTTACCTATTTTAATTTCATGTAACAAGTTTCTTGTTGTTGACTTACATTAGCGTAAATAAATATTCATAGTGACAATTTAAAGTTTATATAAATAAGTACACTAAATGGTATTTCCACTTACCATTTCTATGCTCTCAGAATTAACATAAAGTTGCTCGTTCAGTTGATGAGAATTGGACAGCTGATTCTACAGTAAAAAAGGTGGGGTACATAAAGAGAATTTGGTTTGCAACGCTTATTTAAAATTATACTAAAATCAAGTTTAAAATCATTATGTCCAGTCTAGATGAAATCAGTGGCATTTCTTCTATTATTGTGTGAATTAATAGTGGAAGAAATGATAAACTTTTAAATAAATGATTACTGAAATTAAATAAGGTGGCAATATGGAAAGCAATGTAGCTATTTCTGTTTGTTTTTGTTTTTTGTGAAAGCATAATCTAGAAATCAATTCATTAGTTAATAGACATGCTAGAGAAGTCCTGTCCAATATTGGAAAGCCACATTCAAACCTATACGAAACCTACAGTGCAAAACTGATTAATTTATGTTAGACAAATTTGACATCTATTTTAGTAAAAGTTCACATTTAAAGGTGTCAATTTTTACCTGGTAAGTGTGGCTCAGTGATTGAGTGTTGACCTGTGAACCAGGAGATCACAGTTCAATTTCTGGTCAGAGCACATGACTGCATGGTGGGCTCAATCCCCAGTGGGGGGCGTGCAGGAGGTGGCAGATCCATGATTCTCTCTCATCATTGATGTTTCTCTCTCTCTCTCCCTCTCCCTTCCTCTCACTGCAATCAATAAATATATCCTATCTAATAATAGACAAACATGGTAATTAACTGTACCTCCGACACGCTTCCCATTGGCTAATCAGGGCGATATGCAAATTAATTGCCAACCAAGATGGCGGCCGGCAGCCAGGCAGCTGAAGCGAACAGGAGGCTTGCTTGCTCCAAGGTTCCCCGCCTGCCGCTGCTGGCCTCTGAGCTGCAGTCTAAGAAACAATGTTGCAATTATAGAAGCTAAACAAACCCCAGAAACCTGCTTTCAGCCAGCCGGGCCTCAGAGCTGGAGTTGCAACAGTGTTTCAATTATAGAAGCCAAACAAACC